ACTTCATTTCTCACAATTCTGACTTCATTTCTCACAATTCTGACTTTATTTCTTCAATTTTGGCTTAATTTCTTACAATTCTGGCTTAATTTCTTACAATTTTGGCTTAATTTCTTACAATTCTAGCTTAATTTCTTACAATTTTGACTTTATTTCTCACAATTCTGGCTTCATTTCGCACAATTCTGGCTTCATTTCTCACAATTCTGACTTCATTTCTCACAATTCTGACAACATTTCTCATAATTCTGACTTTTTTTCTCACAATTCTGACTTCATTTCTCACAATTCTAACTTTATTTCTCACAATTCTGACTTCATTTCTCACAATTCTGACTTCATTTCTCACAATTCTGACTTTATTTCTTCAATTTTGGCTTAATTTCTTACAATTCTGGCTTAATTTCTTACAATTTTGGCTTAATTTCTTACAATTCTGGCTTAATTTCTTACAATTTTGACTTTATTTCTCACAATTCTGGCTTCATTTCGCACAATTCTGACTTTATTTCTCACAATTCTGACTTCATTTCTCACAATTCTGACTTCATTTCTCACAATTCTGACTTCATTTCTCACAATTCTGACTTTATTTCTCACAATTCTGACTTCATTTCTCACAATTCTGACTTCATTTCTCATAATTCTGGCTTCATTTCTCAGAATATTGACTTTATTTGTTACAATTCTGGCTTAATTTCTGACTATTTCTCACAATTCTGGCTTAATTTCTTACAATTTTTACTTTATTTCTTACAATACTGGCTTCATTTCTCACAATTCTGGCTTCATTTCTCACAATTCTGACTTAATTTCTCATAATTCTGGCTTCATTTCTCACAATTCTGACAACATTTCTCATAATTCTGACTTTATTTCTCACAATTCTGACTTTATTTTTTCACAATTCTGACAACATTTCTCATAATTATGACTTTTTCCTCATAATTATGGCTTTATTTCTTTTGATTCTGACTTCATTTCTCACAATTCTGACAACATTTTTCACAATTCTGACCTTATTTCTCACAATTCTGGCTTCACTTCTCACAATTCTGACTTCATTTCTCATAATTCTGGCTTCATTTCTCAGAATATTGACTTTATTTGTTACAATTCTGGCTTAATTTCTGACTATTTCTCACAATTCTGGCTTAATTTCTTACAATTTTTACTTTATTTCTTACAATACTGGCTTCATTTCTCACAATTCTGACAACATTTCTCATAATTATAACTTTTTCCTCATAATTATGGCTTTATTTCTTTTGATTCTGACTTCATTTCTCACAATTCTGACAACATTTTTCACAATTCTGACCTTATTTCTCACAATTCTGGCTTCACTTCTCACAATTCAGACTTTATTTCTCACAATTCTGACTTTATTTTTTCATAATTCTGGCTTCATTTCTCACAATTCTGACTTCATTTCTCACAATTCTGACAACATTTCTCATAATTCTGACTTTTTTTCTCACAATTCTGACTTCATTTCTCACAATTCTAACTTTATTTCTCACAATTCTGACTTCATTTCTCACAATTCTGACTTCATTTCTCACAATTCTGACTTTATTTCTTCAATTTTGGCTTAATTTCTTACAATTCTGGCTTAATTTCTTACAATTTTGGCTTAATTTCTTACAATTCTGGCTTAATTTCTTACAATTCTGGCTTAATTTCTTACAATTTTGACTTTATTTCTCACAATTCTGGCTTCATTTCGCACAATTCTGGCTTCATTTCTCACAATTCTGACTTCATTTCTCACAATTCTGACAACATTTCTCATAATTCTGACTTTATTTCTCACAATTCTGACTTCATTTCTCACAATTCTGGCTTCATTTCTCACAATTCTGACTTCATTTCTCATAATTCTGGCTTCATTTCTCAGAATATTGACTTTATTTGTTACAATTCTGGCTTAATTTCTGACTATTTCTCACAAATCTGGCTTAATTTCTTACAATTTTTACTTTATTTCTTACAATACTGGCTTCATTTCTCACAATTCTGGCTTCATTTCTCACAATTCTGACTTAATTTCTCATAATTCTGGCTTCATTTCTCACAATTCTGACAACATTTCTCATAATTCTGACTTTATTTCTCACAATTCTGACTTTATTTTTTCACAATTCTGACAACATTTCTCATAATTATGACTTTTTCCTCATAATTATGGCTTTATTTCTTTTGATTCTGACTTCATTTCTCACAATTCTGACAACATTTTTCACAATTCTGACCTTATTTCTCACAATTCTGGCTTCACTTCTCACAATTCTGACTTCATTTCTCATAATTCTGGCTTCATTTCTCAGAATATTGACTTTATTTGTTACAATTCTGGCTTAATTTCTGACTATTTCTCACAATTCTGGCTTAATTTCTTACAATTTTTACTTTATTTCTTACAATACTGGCTTCATTTCTCACAATTCTGACAACATTTCTCATAATTATAACTTTTTCCTCATAATTATGGCTTTATTTCTTTTGATTCTGACTTCATTTCTCACAATTCTGACAACATTTTTCACAATTCTGACCTTATTTCTCACAATTCTGGCTTCACTTCTCACAATTCAGACTTCATTTCTCACAATTCTGACTTTATTTCTCATAATTCTGACTTTATTTCTCACAATTCTGGCTTCATTTCTCACAATTCTGACCTTATTTCTCACAATTCTGGCTTAATTTCTCACAATTCTGACTTTATTTCTCACAATTCTGACTTTATTTTTCATAATTCTGACTATTTGTCACGATTCTGGCTTCATTTCTCACCATTCTGACTTTATTTCTCACAAATCTTACTTTATTCCTCGCAATTATGCAATTCTTTTTTTATTATTTTTTTAGCAGATCAGATTTTGTTTCTTGCAATTATTACTTTAGTTTTTGCAATTCTCACTATTTCCTGCAATTCTGACTATTTTTGGCTATTATAATTAAATTCTTTTCTGCACTTATGACCAGGGCTTAACTTAACTTTTTTGATCACCAGCCACTGTGGCTTTTAGTTTTCCAACATTACTAGCCACTCGCCATTTTCACTAGCCACACTTTTATTGTTGGAAAAATCTATTTTATACACATAAATAAGACTTTGACATGCTAAAATGACTTGATTTAGATTTTGCATTATCTCTACATGCCTCTTCATTCATTTCACTTTTTGTGTGTTGTGTAGGAGCCTGCTTAATTATCATGAGCAAATGGGTCATGGTTTCATAGTATTACAATTAGTTTTTATTTCATGTGAAATTTCAGAGCTCAAAATGAAGGATTTAACAAAATTTTTCTCTTATCACACCAAACATAAATAAATAATTATTTCTTAGCCACAAGTTTTAAATGTGTCAAAACAAGCTAAATATAGCTGTATACTATACTTTTTATTTAACCAACATATGCACAGTAATCTGTTCTGCCCTAAAGGTTGTAGATCAGCAGTTAACTACACATAAATGAGGAGTTAATCTAGGCACAGTTGCTTCAAACAAGGAAAAGGGAGCGTGCACACGTTTTAAACAGTCGTGCACATCAACTCAGCTGTTAGCACGAGTGATCATCCTCTCATTCGGTATTCACCTGCTTTTTATTGCTGGCGCGAACACAACCATTTTTGTTAGTCGTGTTGCTTCTCAATTCTGAGATCGGCTTTGCATGCATATTGGACCATCCTTATTGTCCAACCCTGCTTTTAAAAATTATTATCCAGGAAAATTACTTTCAGTCAGCCAAAGTGGCTAGTGGGAGTGTCTGTTTTACCCGCCACCGCTAAAATCTACCCGCATTTGGCGAATGTTAATGTCAAGCCACGATTATGACTATTTCCCACAATTCTGACTTTATTTCTCTCAATTCTGACAATTTTTTTATTATGACTTTTTTTTCTGAAATTCTGACTTCATTTTTTCTGTCATTATTTCTCGCTATTGTGACTATTTTTCACAATTCTGATTTTATTTCTTGCAATTCTTTATTTTTTTTACATTTTATTTTTTACAATTCTGACTATTTTTCTTAATTTTTTGCAATTCTTTATTTACAAGTTCTTCCTCTATTTTGACTTGATTTCTCATAATTCAAAACAATTTTTTTTTCACAATTCTGACTTTAATTTGCACAACTCTGACTACTTTTTTAAATTGTCCTTTTTTCCAAACATTTTTTTGCTCACATTTCTTAATTAATTACAAACAACACAAGTTTTTATTTTCCTGACTTGTGACTGTATTTCTCATAATTAGGGACTTTTGGGCTTTTTTAAAAGGTAGATTGTCTTTCAGTTGACAGTTTTTTTCTTCCGAATTGTGATTTATTCCTCGCAATTGTGAGTTTTTAGGCTTTCCATGCAATGCTGACTTTATTTATCACTATTCAAATTTTATTTATTGCAGTCTTATTTTTAGAATTTCATTTTCCCCCTCATAAGTCAGAGCTTTTGGGGTTGCACAATTTGGGCATTACACAAATTTTCTTTTATTTTTTTTACCTTTGCGACTCTATTTCTCCTACTTACATGTTTATAGGATTTCTTGGAGTTTAAATCTTAAAATTCCGACCTTTTAGCCCTGAATTTTGATTTCTTGCAATTCTGATGGTTCTGTAAATTGCAACATTATTTGCTTCCTCAAAAATTACAATTTGTCACAAATCTGAAAAGACATGTCAAAATTGTGAATTGACTGCTAAAGGTATGAATTGCTAAACTTAAATATGGAATCTAAACGCAGTTCTGTGAAAAAATAATTATGGTATTTAACTTGGACTTAACTATATTTAACTATAGCAATTTTCCATATAAACTCTCGCAATAGCAAGACAAAGCCAGAAAAGTCACAATAACCTTTTTTTATATTGTATTTTTATTGTTATAAAAATTTAATCTATAAAATAATATCTACATGCTTTTCATCATGTGTGTTGTCAATGAACTCAAATATTCAGTAACTAAACTAATGTGCTCATTCTCCTCTTAGGTTCTACTGGGATTTCACAATGCTAATGTTCATGGTGGGCAACTTGATTATCATTCCTGTGGGCATCACCTTCTTCAAGGAGGAAACCACCACCCCTTGGATTATCTTTAATGTTGTGTCCGACACATTCTTCCTCATGGACCTGGTACTGAACTTTCGTACGGGCATAGTGTACGAAGACAACACAGAGATAATACTGGACCCTGAAAAGATCAAGAAGAAGTACCTTAAGACGTGGTTCGTGGTGGACTTTGTCTCATCCATCCCGGTGGATTATATCTTTCTCATCGTAGAGAAAGGCATTGACTCTGAGGTTTACAAAACGGCCAGGGCACTGCGAATAGTGCGTTTCACCAAGATCCTCAGTTTACTGCGACTTCTCAGATTGTCCAGGCTGATTCGTTACATCCATCAATGGGAAGAGGTAAGATGATGCTCCAATGACAAAATCAAGAAGGGTCTTTTACATTTGGCACTTTAAAAAATAAGACAAACAATCTGATGACATTGAGGGTTTTAAACCTTTCTGTCAACCTAACAAATTAATCATGGTGACAATTGCTACGTCCAAGCCATTAGGTGTCAGTAGTCAAAAATAAGTCAGCAAAATAGTTTTGACACTTAATATCTGAATCCAACTGTGTAAATGTACATGATAATTACAAGATGTCTCAAGAAATGTGTTCAAAACCACAACAATGACTTATTATATATGTAATTGAGAGTTGCGTGCTTTAGGTTTTTCTCGCAATTATAGTCTAAGGGACTGTTCACATATCACATGTAAAAGCACATAGAAAGCCCGAGCGCATCATTTCCTTCACAATTTTCAACACGTTTGGGCTCACAGGTCGTCTGTTATTGCCAATCGACCATCAATTGTTTTCTCAGAGTATGACAGACTGACAAAACATTGCTGCAGCTCTGATACAAGTTTTATTTATGGAGAAAACTACAAAGCACTGCAGTGTTTGGGCGTGCTGTGTTTGTCAGTAGGTAATTAGTCTACCAAAATGTGCATCATCCATACAAAGTATAAAGCTGATTGGTCAGTTCTTATCAAGTGACTTGAGGTGTGCTTGTGCCATTCTCAGAATTTTTTCAACTAGGTGCTCCTGGAAAACCCAATCAATATACATAGTTTGCGCATCACTCCTAATATGCGCACATAAGCCACGTGCCTTCATTAGACATAACAAACATCCACACAAAAAACATGATATGTGAACGCCCCTTATATGACTTTATTTGTGGCAGTTGCAGGTTTATATGCTTTTTCACAACTTTATGTAATTCAGAGTCTATATCTCATTATTATGACATTATTTATTTAAATATACACTCTAAGAATTCTTTTTGCTCTGAATTGTGAATTTATTTATCATGGTGTTATCAGACCTTTTCATTAACAGAAGAAATAAATCTTGGCTGATTGTGAAAAGCATTGGGAATTCAAAAACAATTGTTACATCCTAGGCACTAAGTTTCATTAGTCTAATTTAAGTGAACAAAAATATTTTGCAGTCTTACACTGTGGTCACATTGGACTTTTCTCCCCATAGACTTACTTATACGCACGTGAATGTGTCAGACCGGAAACCTAAGGTCGTGGGTCAAGTTTTACAGATCGCTGTGTTGGAAAGTTCTAGCTTGGTGAATTCTGATCTGAGAAATCGCATAACTTGACTACATGAGACCAATCAAGGATCAAAACATGACCTCTTTGTACAGGATTTTAAAATATGGAGCAATCGCTCACTTTTTTAATGTCTAATAATCTTGTTAAATCCCCCCCTTTTCACAGCACTGTACGAAAGAATTTTGCAAGCTCAAACTCTAGTGTGACCGCAGCCTTGCACTCTGTTCCATTCGGTAGGACCCGTCCTTATGCCCTAACAGGGTTTACGCAACAGGGTCGTCAGTTTTGAAGGGATTAGGGCATAGGGATGAGCCACACTGAATGGAATGTGTAAATAACTTCTCTATGCAAAAGGATCATGGGGGCCCAAAGTGTCCATTAGTTGTACCAAACAAAATCTTTTCTACTGAAGGGCCCTTCGAAGTTCAAATTTTTAGCACTTCAGTTTGGAACATTTCATTATGGAGGCCATGATTGTTTTCACTCCAACGTGCCCTTTAGAGGGTGATATGTCACGTTTTGGAACAAACCGCAAATGTACATTTCACACCATATAGTAAATGAATTCAGAGCAATTCTGTTTTTTTTTTTTTTTACAATCTAGATTTTTAAAAAATTAACCGTGACTTAATTGTCAATTTTCATAATTTTCCATAATTGCTTTTGTAAAAATTAAAGTATATACTACACAATTCTAACATTTTTAAGTGAAATTAAATTGCATTTGAAAGGCTTTATCAACAATCAAACTTCAGATTTCTTTCTGAATTTAGGGTTTATAAAATAAGGGCTTCCCCATAAGATTGACTCATTTGTTTGGCCATCCAAATATTTTGTGTACTGTTAAAAACAGCATCCTGTCATTATATCAGATTAGCTAGTTACTATTCTAGACATGGCCCAGATGTTTGCTTACCTGTTGATGTCACATTTCTTGTTTGTAATTACGGCAGGCAGAATATAATCGATGGTGCTTTTCACTGATTTCCAATGCTGCCTTCTTAGTGTTTTGCTGAGGGTGACTAATTAGGTGCACAGGCTAATTAATGTAGTGTGGAGTAATTACAAATCATAAACGTTAATAACAGCAACTGACTGACCACAATAGTAGAAAAACAAATCAGCGCAACCAGCTTTTTTGTGAACATTTTAGATGGCGAGAGCCAGCTGTTCAGGGTGACAGCCGTGTGACGATATGCCTGGGGTTCAGTTCGACTGGTGATTCAGTTATATGTGTTCTTTTCACCACTAAATGGGACAATTATGTTCCTGATTGCATAGTGGTAATGTGAGCCAGACATGGCCCTCAATTACTGAATCAACCTTGCACAGCGGTGCCACATCCACTCCATACTGTTTGACCCCCTTATAGCTGTTGATTACTAAGGCAGGGACAAAGCATGTGTTAGACCTCTTAAAAGATATGAGCAAGTTGTGAAAACCATTCATAAGTCATAGGGTTGCACTGATTATCCTTATTTTAAATAGGTGTAGGTCACATAAATGGTCAAAACTGTGTTCTTATGTCATAAACTGCTAACAAATCTCCCAATGGCACACTAGTGCTTTAACCCTTACAAGAAAGTATTTATTAGCCACTGTATCATGAAGCGGCCATTGTTTGTGCTAGCTAAGTTTTTTTGTTAGCCTACCACTCACAAGATTATGATGAGTTAGCAATCGAACACGATTCTAAGGTATCATACAAGTTATCTTGCTAGAAATGCAAATAAACTAAAAATACAAGTACATTTTTTTTTTACATTTTAAACATTTTTAAATTTTGTTAAAACTCTTTAAATGCCAAGTCACTAGGCAAACAGTTTGTTAGGATTATATTACATGTTGTATGATAGCGGTAATGCTAAAATATGCTGTGCTAAGCTAACAGGCCATCCATAATCTAGCTAAAAACACTAATAATAACACAAACAAAATGATGTTTTAATAACATTTTTTGGTTCATATGGACTGTTTGTCATTTTTATTAAATCTATAGATGCTGCTGTCAGGCTATTAGCCAGGCTTGCTAACTGCAGGCTAACTAAAACAAATATAAACTGAACATTTGTAGATTTGGTTATATTGTGTGGTTGTAAAGATATTAATTTACTTACTTACCTTTCTTAACTTACTTTACTTACCTCACTTACCTTACTCATCTTACTTACCTTAATTACTTTACTTACCTTACTTACCAACGTAGCTTACTTACCTATTTACTAAAGTTGATATTTTGCCACACCATATTTGGTGTTTTGTAACATCTAGTTTTTATGAGGTGGGTTTTTAGCCCAACGCTTAACCCCCAACCTGGAGGACCAAGACATACACACATACACTACGGACAATTTAGCTTACCCAATTCACCTACAGCACATGTCTTTGGACTGTGTGGAAAACCAGAACACCCGGAAGAAACCCACACGAACACAGGGAGAACATGCAAACTCCACAAAGAAATGCCAACTGACCCAGTCGGGGCTCAAAAAAGCAACCTTATTGCTTTGAGTGGACAGTGCTTCCCACTGTGACATAGTGTTTTTCGATATTTATTTAAGGATTACTAGTTTATAAGTAATAACTGATAAAATCTTGAAAGAGTTTTCTTTTTTTATTGTTTTTTACATTTTCTATTTCCTAAATCGTTTCCTTTAAAATTATTTTATACCGCCAACCACAGCTCAAAATCAAGCCTGTTGTCCATAATTTACACACACACGCAAACAGTATTGCACAAGCCAGTGTTTTCATGAGGACATTTTTCAACTGATGTTTGACAATCCCCTCGCAGCAGATATTTATGCATGCCAGAAGATAAAGGAGTATTAATATTAAGTATGGATCATTAATTTCAACAAGTTTAAATGGTGGCGCAACGAGACCCATGAGTGCTTCCACATTGCTTAGAGATCAGTGACCCTGATCAAAGAGGACTGCACAGCAATAAAAAATATGTTAAACAAACAGCCCTAACCATCCCAACCATACGAGCACTCCAGGCATTATGCTTCTCTTCAAATATTACTCTCCAGTCATTTTTATGTGATGCATCTTTTTCATTTTAAGATCCCATCCCATGAGCTGCTGCTTCTCAATCTCGTAAAAAAAAACAACAACAACCCCCGCCTACTAAGAACACAACATGAGCCAGCCTAGTGTCTCTGCCTTGTCGTCTTATATCGCTGTTTTTGGCCTAGTTGCTATTTGGGGCACTTGGATTTTCTCAGGTGTGACAAGCCTTGTTTCTGGTATGGGAAGAGAGTGTTGACACTGTCTCGCACAACCACACAAGGCATTATCCTGGACCGGCTCCAGATCGCTCTCCAATAGCTGTCCTCTCCACTTTGTAACCACAAACAAACTGCACACACGACTGTCTCCTAGAGACACGGTTTCTGCTCTCTTTCTTAGTACTGCCAGGAAGAACATGCTATCAGATAGACACATTACTTTCATCATTCACAGACATGTTCGTATCATCCTGACCCAACAGTCCCCGATACCGAATCTAATCTGACAGGATGAAGTTTTTAGGATGTACTGTACTCAATTACATAAAGCTTTGGCAAACCTGTTCCCAGTGCAATATGTGTGCTCGCACAAATAATCTCTAGTAGCCTATTAAGGGAACAACTCTCCAAATTAAAGTTTGTCCTTCACAATGTGATTACCTGTGCCTTTGTTTTAGAGTTCTGATAATTTAATATGTGCTGGTTTGTCCGAGAGAGTCCTTCACTTCTGTAGTCAAATGTAATGCTGGCTCTTATCTTGACTGGCAGATCTTTCATATGACCTATGACCTGGCCAGTGCAGTGATGCGCATCATCAATCTGATTGGCATGATGCTGCTGCTGTGCCACTGGGATGGCTGTCTGCAGTTCCTGGTGCCCATGTTGCAGGACTTTCCTTCGGACTGTTGGGTGTCCCTTAACAAGATGGTGGTAAGTCTTACCTTCCCATTTACCCTTTTTTCACACAAAAGAGCATTTCACACTTGAAATCATCAACCATGGGTCATCCTAAACCCCGGAAAAATGGAATCCTGGGTAAATACATTCCACACTGCTCATACTATACCTGGGATTAATGAATATACCTGGGTATTCATTAACAGAAGTTTCACATTGCACATTTCTAAACCCAAGGTTAACGTTCTTACTCTCATATTTCACCTGTCGCTGATTGGACAAACGGCAGGTGACAGAGTTTACTCAGCATTTTCACATCTCCTTATAAAAAAGATTGCTGCATAATGTTAGCACTGTCTCAAGCCTCGCAAGATGTGCAAGGACAAGAAAACAAAAAGTACAAACGAATGAAAACAAGGAGCAAAACATGCACAAATGTGGTGCTAACCTTGGTATAGAGCAGGGTTTCATAACTCTGGGTGAAATACAGCACTTACAACAGTTTCCAATTACAGGTGTCTTTACCCTGGGTTAAATATGGTAAGTCAAGCATAGCGTGAAAAGCCCTAAAGTGTTTCTAAACTCTTCCCTGTAGCAAGATCTCAATTGGCAGTGAAGCACTAAAATTGAGCATCTGTTAAAAACAAAAAGGATTGAGCCATTTGCTGAGTCCAGGAACTGAATCTTGGACTCAGCAAATGGCTCTAAAGAAGGTCACTCTAAACCCTCAAATTATGCATAAACAGTTTCACACAATACGTAAAAAACAAAGCCAACACTATCCCTGATGTCATCAGTGGTTCACAGTGTTTATCACACAAGCACATTGGGGAGCGGACTGTCACCTGCTCCTTCTCACTTTCCCAAGTCTGCCATGCTCTTTGAATAAACCCTCCCTCACCGCTCTCCATCCTCCATCTGTTCTAGAAGTTCTCCCTGCTGTTTAGTCTAGTCTCGAGATAAGACACTGTTTGGACGTTTGCTGCACTGATGTATACAGTAAGTGATTGTGAACTCTTGCTCTGCAAAGTGTGTCCAGCGTCAGGCAACTACAACTGTGAGGACAATTTATACACAGGTTATCTGGGGATTCACATGTGGGCAGAATGCCACTCTAATATCCAAAGACTGGCTTGTTTTAAAGCTTGGTGTAAACCATTGGTGGCAGTTTGTGAATAGTTGTCAGTCAGTTTGGTATGAAATATGCACCGAATTTACCAATGGAAAAGTTGATTGTGAGTTTGAGTAACTGTCATATTTCATCCAAAAATGGGAATTAGACTTAAGTGAAAACTTCAATATTGCATAAAACATTTGCGAATAAAGTGGCAATTCCATCCAGTGAATCAAGAAGACAAAACTTTGTCTTAACTTTGGTGACGATGAGCATTTATGAATTTGACTAAATTCTGGTTTAATAAGAGTATGCAAGGTTAACCGCATAAATACTTCAACCCATGATGTCAACAAAATTCTCTTTCAAAAGGAGATATCATTCAAAAGGAAGGCTGAAGGTCTTAAAACCTTGGCCGCTTTGAAAAGTCAAAGAACAAAGGAAACTAATGGGTTGCACTTTCTGCCATCTAATGATGTTTTCAAACCTAGACTTTTGTTTCAGAACCTTGCTTGTTTCCCCAGTTAGCATAGTTCGTTTGGCATATGTGCATCCAGCAATCGCGCTCGGATCTGCGCCAAAACAATCAGCCTGAGATTGCCTGAACGAGGTGGTCTTGGCTTGATTGAAATGAACTCTGAAGCAGATTGATTGTGGTGAGAAAGCAATATGATCCAACAAACTAGCAATCCAGGCTAAATGACATTGTATCATGGATATGTAATAGCCATATACGGCTATAGAAGACAGAATTATGAGTAGGGCGGTATGTCATTCCTACAGTAAATGTGCGTTTCATGTCAAATACGAAAGTGAAAGCATGCGGAAATATTAACAAGAGCTGTTTATCCATTAGTATAATTGACCGAACTTCAGTCTTGGTTTATCTGTTATTTCTCTCGATAATGTAAAGCCTATATTGCATAATTCTAGCCAACAGCTATCTATGAAAAAGTCTTACCTCTGATTTATATTTGATGTCGATGCCTGTGGGTGTCACCATTCAAAATTAAAGCACAGCTTTTCGCTCATAATGTCTTATTGTTCATTGCCATAAATTATAATAAGGACGCATGACAGCTGAGTGGGACTCTGCAAAATAAACAGTGGAACTCTGATCAATATGAGGAAACTTACTCGCACGTGACTTGTTTTAGCTATTTTGGCCCGTTTAGAAACTTTGCAGTGTGAAAGCGAACCGCACCAAGAACAAAGAGAGCAACATTGTAGCAATTTTAATCCCTGTTCCGGAAGAAAACAATTGATCTACAGGTGTGAAAGCACCCTTAATCTGTGTGACATTTATTTAGGAATGCATCACCTAAACAAGAACTTTATAAGAACTACAGTATGTGGACATTTCCATGACACAGCACAAAACGAAATGTGATTGGTTGGTTAACCTGTCAGTTATATAGCATTGTGTGCATTCCTTGACCATTTAAAGTGGCCAAGGTTCTCAAACATTCAGCTTTGAGTCTAAGGTCAGGCTAAGCAAGAATAACCTTGTGAACACAATGGCCAATCAGCAGTGTTTAAGAACCTGCTTAACAGCACAAATGTTAGTAGCAAATGTAAATTTTTAAAGTATCCTTACTGATTTGATACTTTTGACAACCCTATTTTGGACACTTTTTGACCTAATCACAAATGGCACCATATACTCTTGTGTATTCCAAGAGTCCATGTTTTCAAGATGTAGTGTTTCTTTGACTGTATCTTACCCCTGTATGGTCTCAAAAGAACAGGCTCATGGATATAATGGTCATATGCATAGGATATCTATTATAGGTGTGCAAAACCACATGTGGACATGAAGTGTGCCATTTAGGGTTGGCCCTTAATATGCTGTCACTTCTAAGAGATCATGTGACATAGGGACAAGGTTTTCATTGGCTTTGGTTACCACAATAGTTTTTGAGTGCAGTCATTCTAGTCGCTGCCAATACTCGGCAATCAAGGTCAGCAGCTTTTGAAAGGCAGATTGCTTGAAATGAAAGACGCAGCGTTAAACGATCTGTCTCATTATTTCAAGTGTCCGCCTGGTCTCTCAATAGGCTCTTCTTTGTGCGGTAATGAAGCTCGTGAGTCACACTCGCTGAGGTGTTGTTAAGCTTCAGCAGAGGTGCTATAAAACATTGGACAGTTTACAAACCTTGCTTAATTTGTGGGAATACAACAAAACTCAAATAGGCGTTAACATTTAGGATTTTATGACATTCAGACAATGTGAGTCCAATAATAAACAATCACAGATTTCAGGGTTCCCACAGGTCAAGGAATTTCTGGAATATCATGGAACTTTAAAAGGTCTATTGCTGACATGTCATGTTTAGTTAAAGGGATTTTTGTTTAATATTTTAAATTTGACTTTCCAAAATGTAAATTTAACATATCATGTTGTTAATTTCCTGTGTTTTGGCCATTTTTATGGTTAGAGTATTTTCATTGTCATTGTATTCTTTTCCATATTCATTCATTCATTCATTCATTTTCCTTTGGCTTAGTATCTATTTCAGAGGTCACCTACGCGAAAACAGGGAGAACATGCAAACTTCACACAGAGATGCCAAACTGACCTTCTTGCTGTGAGGCAACAGTGCTAAACACTGAGCCACCGTGCTGCCCATTTTCCATCTGATCAACCCTAAAAAGTCAGTTGTAGTCCCCTCTACCTCTTAACTAAGTCCCACTGGCCATACAGATAAAAAGGGCTATGTAGCAATAATGTTAGCTAGCTAAATTTAATAAATTTTTTTTTAATGAATTGTAGCCTATGTTCGGTAGCATAAAGGCTGATTTATACAAGCACATGTGCATGGTCTGGCGCAGCCTCCATGCGGCCGCAAAGTCCTCGCAGTGGCTGATGCGCATCTTTCAAAAAATGTAACTGCAAGTCAAAAAGACATGGCGCAAGCTCTGTGATTGGTTGGCTTGGTAGCAGTGACGAGTGTGGGCGGTGCTGAAAGCCGCTAGCCTGATGGATTGATTGTTTACAACTGTCGAGTCCTGTGAATGAGCTCCAGATGGAAACTTTTGTTTTGTATTTACCTTATGATTGAAGTTGATTATAATTAACACCCACGCAGACACTCTACACAGAGGAACATAAAATTCTACTGGCAGCTGGCGTTTCGGAAGTGTTATTGCAGAGCAACACAAACCTCACGCAGAAGTATAAATGCATGACTACACGCAAGGCTTGCGCCGTGGATCACGCCGATCACTTAACGCAGAAGTATAAATCAGCCGTAAGTGATCTCTGGCAGAATTAAATTATCTTAGCCTAGCCATTCAGCGGTTAAAATTAATTACAACGTTTGAATCAATGTTGTATATCAATGTTATAGGGTAATTGAAAAGATTGACAAGTCCCTTTAAATTAAATGAAATCTAAAAAGCTTTAATTTGGGCTATAGCACTCTATTCTAAACAGATGTGACGTGACAACACATGATAAAATGTTATTTTCCATTTGAATCATTATTTGTCATAACCGACAGCTTTTAATAAACATCTATAAACGAGTATATAAAGCTTTAAATGGATGGATTTTAAATACTCTCTGACTGTTCTTCATAGGTCATTGAAATAAAATTTTTATTTAGTAAAAATCTGGGGAAAAGTCAAGGTATTTGACAGTTAGCTTAGAGTGTGAACTCTGAGATGATAATAATAATAATAATTCCTTAAATTTATGTAGCGACACTCAAAGTGCTTGCACATTTTTTTTTGGGGGGGGGGGGGGGGGTCTCCTCATTCACCATCAGTGTGCAGCATCCACCTGGATGATGCGATGGCAGCCGTATTGCGCTAGACTGCACACCACACACCAGCTGATTAGTGGAGAGGAGACATAGGGATGAAGCCAATTATGATATGGGGATGGTTAGATGGCCAGATGGACAGAGGCCAGTGG